AACCCAATACGTCGCCGCAGTACTGCTTTGATTGAGCTTAGATCCATCACTAAACATACCAAACTTGGGAACCTTTGTAAAGATGAAGAACTTGAAGGGCAATTTCAGTTGCATTGTGCCTGTGAATTAAGGCAGGTAATCAGAGTGGCGTTCAGGCCCATGTTGCGTAGGTGATAAGTTTCCTCACCTTATTGAAGGACAAGCACACCAGACGCCCCATGTTTTGCCATGAAACTCTTTACAAGCAAAAAATACCTTACTAGACCTGTTGATAATCGTTGTGAGGTGCTATTTAGTTATGAAATTTTGTTTTCTTTATAGGGAAACGACCCAGTATACTGTGTCCACAGTCATTCTTCCTGCTTACCAAGCGTAACCCTACAAAGCATTGCGTGTTAAAATTCTGGAAAAATATGTGGAGAAAGCACTAAAATTTAAATTTTCAATCCAATCTAAACATGCAACACCTCAAGTGGTGATAGTTCACACGCCCATTGCACGCACTTACTACACTTACTAAATAAACAAACAAACAAAAAAGGACTGCGGCTATAGTAATAAAAAGGGAGCAGTGAACTAAAAACTCAATCCCCGCTTTTATGGCATTAAACCTAAAATTTATTCGTACAGTTCCAATTCGTTTCATGCGCATTGTATGCGGACATCCGTCTTCGAAGCATCCGCTTGCCTTTATATGCGTACCTACGCGTTCGATTGTACCGAACTTAATTTTTGATATATTTTTTCATACTTATTGTCATTTAAATTAATTCAGTTTAATTGTTTTTAACGCGTTGGCAGCAGCTCATCATCGACACTACTATGGCTATATGTATTCGTAGTTGCCACTTTGTTGCTGCCACGCTTCGATGATTGGTGGTGGGCAGTCAGTCAGTTGGTTGCACGACGAATTTTTTAGGTCTTGGTCGTTCACTGCCATCAATGGGGCTCGCGCACTACTTTCTGTATGCTTGACTGAGGGGTGGGAGACAAATTTTACGTTACGCATCACTTATTCGTGTTCATTGTATTCGATTCAAATTGTGGTAGTGGATTTTATTTAGTCAAAGTATTATATAGTTAGTGTTATAAAAGCCGTTTCGATTTGCCAACACTTAGCGACTGGCGAAATGAACGAAATTAATGAGGTACAACCAAACTGTCTAACGTTTATCGCTGCTAGATGGCTTCGTTGTTTGTTTCATATGCACATTTTAGCTATGATTCCATCCTTTTCGTGTAAAATCTTAAAAAAATCTCAAACAGCAATATTACTCTCTGAAGTGAGAGTAAAAGTACGGGAACAAAAAAAGCATCTTTTCTGTAAAAACATCAAACAGTGATCGCTTGACACTTTTCATGATTTACGAGCAGAAAAAGTTCGGGTAAAATCTTGCAATTTCATTCACTATACAACTCGTCAAAAATCGCTCTCATTTACAGAGTTTTTATGTTGAAATAGCAGGGATGAACTCAAACGAGCAGAGAAGTGGCGAATCGAAGGCTGCTAAAGACATATTGTTACCCATTTCACCACGCATGCTCGATGTGTGGTTCACGCGGCTCAGTTGTTAGTACATACGTACATAAGTATAGGGTGATTCAATAAGACCGCAGATGCTCGCATTGGGGTCATTGTTTCATGCACTGTGTGGCAAGTGGCACCGTCTTGTTGAAACCACTTTTTATCCCAAGCCCATGTCACTAATTCAGGACATAAAAGTCGCGATAACGTTCTTCGTTCACCGTTACCCACATCATTTTCGAAGAATCGGCATTTGGATAACTGTTACGCGTTGTTAAACTGAGCATCGCTCCATGATTAAGTTTGCCAAAACCTGTGGTACAAATTTTCTGAAAAAAAGTAAAAAAAGCATTAACAAATCATAAATAATTCCTGCATCACGCTTGTGACACCCATTTGGCGTAGCCTGGTAGGGGCTCGAGCTCCCCCTAATCTTGAAGTCCGCCCTATATATAAAAAAAATAGTAGCCTGAAATGCTAGCCCACCCTCTCCCCATAAATTTCATTCTAGTTACGCCGATGGTATCACCCTATATGTATACTCGATTCGCTATGCATGCCTTCTTATTGCTATCGCATTCGCTATCCGCATTTTCATATGAGTAACTGCTAACCCTCTTTGTGCGAGCTGAGCTTAATTACGGCTGATGGATAATGAGTAGTACAGTAGTAGAATTAGCTGATTAAGCGATTGTGACTACTTTTAATGACATGTCGTCGTGCGTTGCTATCGTTCACATGCAAATGAAGGACGTGATGTAGTATGTACACAATAATAGAAATATGTCACTTATGTCATACATATGCCCAGTTTAGAAGCAAGCGTGGCGACAACGCTTATTTTGCTGTGCTACTTAGAGCGTCGATTGTCGGTCTAGAATGTAGTATATGAGTCTAACGCTTATAAGACATAAGCTCAGATTTCCAGCTCACTACAGCAGCAGTGTGTCCCGTCACAACGATCCATATTACCAATATTGTAACTCAATCGGCCATTTATGTGCTTTTAGGTCACCAGTACGGGTTCTAAGGTCCTCCTAGCTTCCGGGTAATCCAATCTCCAGAATTCGCAATGAAAAACATTCGCATGGAAGCATAGAGTTGTTTATAATCTAATATTAATTATTTACTTCCAATAAAAATAATGTTGAATTCGGAATTAATTCAATAAAACTTACATATAAACCAATAGTCCCTCAATTGAAAATTTAAAGCGTATTTTCTCTCAAATACTTTCATGTAATATATCCTTTGCCAAGAACTACTTCCTTTGTCAAGCACTACTTCCTTTCAAATGTCAGTAGTGTTGCCAAATCCGTTTAAAAGCTTAAGGGGCGTACACACCGCAAGTAAAAAAATCATTAATTGCTCGCTTGACATTGCGCCAAAATGAGTTTGTGGTAAATATAAATAAGCTGAAAAATATAAATAAATCAACCTAGATTAGCGAATAAGGTGTATGCATACATACACATACATACATTGCACTAAACCCTTGGCTTGCTGCCAATGTGTTATTGGAATAAACAGCTTTCAGATGCAATCTTTGTCAATTATGTGTGAGCACATATAATAAAGTGAAACTTTAGAAAACTTCATGGTTAGTATAGCATTAACAGTTTTTAACTACCTGACATGCCAGATTTTGGCAAGCGTTGTGAAATAAGGCATCTCCGCTTGTTATAAATACATACATTTTTCCGGTGTAATGTGTAGTTTTTTTACCACCCTACCCATACAAATTCACTGCATTTTCACCACCTCCATACAAATATATATATATATATATATGTAAATAAGTAAGTGCATTTCTTCCTTGCTGATTTTTTCATTGCCTGCATAAAATTTTAATACCAAAACTTTGTTGCTCTGTACGTTTATTCCTGCCATGCTTTCTTCTTTTTATAGGAGAAGCAACCTTTGCTGCCTTGTCACGTTTGTCTTTGTTGCTGTTGTTGATGACATTATGCCACGACAGAAATTTGTAGTCATCATGAAAGTGTCATCGACACGTTTCACGTATCGGCGATCATTCGTTTTGTATTTTATGCGCTTGAAGCGGGTGGCTTTTTTGTGATGAAGCCATTTTTTTTTTTAATTTCTCATTCTCATTGGAGCTTCTGAACGCATATCCAAAGATAGTTTGTTCATTTCGATCCTTTTTGAGTAGTTTTCTTTAGTTTTTGCTAAGTTTATTTGCAGTTTTTTCTTATTTGTTATCGCTTTTTGGTGTCACTCTATTCGTCTTAAACTTACTTAAAGAAAATTAAAGGCTTTTCAAGTTGATTTTACCGGCGAGAAACGTCATTGCTGTTTGATAGGTCACTCACGCGAAAGACACAACAAATAAATTGAAGAAGGCAGTTATTTTGCAGTTCTGTTCGAAGTAAAAATATGTATATTATTTTTTATATTATTTTCAATGTTTACCGAGCCCAAGGTTTTCTACAAGCGTTCTTTCCAGCTTCGAACTTATGTATGTATGTATATTTAGCTGGCGCAAGGACGAAGTCTCCTTTTCTGTTGCCAAGAGCTACTTTGTCTTGTCCTTGTTGCCCGCTGTTCTAACCTATTTCCCCTCTTTATTTAAGTTTCCGATCGCAGGGCCTTTAAGGTTCTTCTCAATTCAGACGGAGCTTAAGGTTGAGCTCAACGCCCTTTTTTCCGTGCTGCCAAAATCTAATTTAAAATCAGAGAAGGTGGATTTTTCAGATTTTAAGGACTTGTAGGAACTTGGGACCATAAACGATATTGAAAATTTTGGTTCCATTCTAATAAATAAGGCATACTTGCCGTCGATATGTCATATACTCCGCGTACTTTTTTTCTCAACTTGTCTGTGAAGAATGGCTATTACTTACACCGAAATGCAGATGAGAGTTTTTTTCAAGGATTTTTCACGATCTTAGGGTATTGAGTATTGTTTTCTACAACCAGATTTTCTTACCGTTTTTGCAGTAACCTGCAATTCTCCCGGTTTGGAAACATCATTTTGCTGCCTTGTCCTCTTCTAAAGTACATTTTCCTCTTCACTCGGTATCACGTCGCACGATAAAAATCCTTGAAAAGATGATAAGCTTTTCGCAGACTATGCTATCGTTCTTCCTGCTTTTATCTTGTGATTTTTTTCTTTTTATTACATTTATTTTTTCGTCACTTAATAGTCCCATACATATTGTCGCCGTGTATGGCAATGTCTGCTTGAGGAATTTACATTTATATATTACACTCGTACGCATAACTTATTTATTGTTTATGGAAATGATCAATGAATGATGAATAGCTTAGGAAATGCTGAATGTGACTGGCATTGTTAGCTGCAATCAAGGACAGAAGAAAATACTTATTCAAATTTTACACATCGATATGATTGTAGCGTGTTATTTAAGATTTATTATTGTTCTTAGTAACTACTTTTTAAATCGCTAGTCACTTTCAACACTCACTCACTAAATTGTTTTCTTCTATTTTCCAGGCACCCCACTCGCTTATGCGGCGAGTCAACCCGATGCCGACCAGAAAGGACCCGTTTTCCTCAACGAACCCATTAATCGCATTGACTTCTCCAACTCAACAGGTGCCGAAATCGAATGCAAAGCCAGCGGAAATCCTATGCCTGAAATTATATGGATTCGTAGCGATGGCACTGCTGTTGGTGATGTACCTGGACTGCGCCAGATCTCATCAGATGGCAAATTGGTCTTTCCACCATTCCGTGCCGAAGATTACCGACAAGAAGTGCACGCTCAAGTTTATGCTTGTTTGGCACGCAATCAATTTGGAACCATCATTTCACGCGATGTGCATGTGCGAGCAGGTGAGTTGTCGAAGTTCTAGAGAGAGAAAGACGCTGAATTTACCAGATGAAAGTTGGAGGACTTAGTAGGTGATAGCCAAAATAGCAAACTCTGTAAAGCAATGCGCTTTGGCGCTACTATTAAACAGTTGCTCGAGATGTTACAGAAGAAAATAAAAAACCCGTTTAGAGTGAAAATTGGTTGTTAAAATAACTACACATATAATATATATCTTCAAAGTTTGAGAAATGTAGTATATGAAACCCATACGGAATCTTACTCCGAATGAAAGTGGTAATAAAACTCCATTTCTGTTAATCAATATTCATAATTTTTCGTTCGAAAATTCATGAAAATATAATAAAAATTTATTCACTCAGTAATTATCGCTCTCGCAAGAGGATATTCAAGTTTTCTCAAAACTGATAAGGAGCTAACATAAGTTTTGATTTTCTACTATTGATTGTTACTTGAAAAAAATTATTTCGATTTTGCAACTGTAATTATGGAATAATATAACCACCTTTAACTTAATGTTCATCGAGTCCTCCAACTCTCGCTAGCTCACACATTCCCCAATAAAATTTATATATAGCTTCCAATGCTGCATACCAGTTCCATCGTTGGTTTAACGCAGCGTGGGTATTTTCACTCTTTACGCTGTGTGTTTCACTTGTTCAGCTGTACGGTTTCTTTCTCCTGACCACGTTGGTGTCGATTAAACGATAATTTTTGCAATGTAAGGCCATTTAATTTTCAAACAATTTAAACACTTCAGAAATTCTTCTTTAATTCGTACTGTCTTGACATTTCGTTTGTGGTTCTACATTAAAAAAAATCGTTAATTGCTTTCAATTGTATTTCCGGTTGTCATAATTATGAACCGTTCACACGCGCATCATTTACCCATAAACTTGCAAAGAAGCCTACAAACACGAACTTTACAAACGCATTCCTCTACGCGCCGGCATGAATATACTTACAATTACTCACTACTTATTTGCTTTTATTGGGCCTTTTATAGCGGCTGCATTTAATTGACAACGCCATAGTAATGCCTTGACACTTTATTATGTGCTTAGTGGCACAAACAGCAGCTATGCATTTGCTTAAAATTGACATAGTCATTGGAAAAGCGTGCGTGTGTAATCCCAGTGATGCTTCCACACATTACGCATTGTTGCAGCCTTTTACAGTTAACAATGCCACTTCCTCTTTTGTATTGATTGTGTAGTACTCGAGAGTGCATATGCATGCGTATGCTTTTACTCATCTATAAAGGGATTTATGGAAAATTATGAAATAAATACTCTTGCAAATTTGGTTGCATTTGCTGTTTTGCATAATAATTGACAGTTGCTTGTTGCGCAGTGATGCAAATGTGACACAAGCTTTTTTTTATAATCACAAAGGGATGGGCTTCTAAATGAATTCATACAAAATACTTTCCGGTTTGACTAGCAAACCTTTCCAGCTCTTTTCATGATTATATCCGCTTAGCCTAAAAAAATTTTCCTATCACTAAAATTCTTGAAATAACAACAATTGCCGTCATAAATCAACGCGGTAACTGAGCGAAACCGCTAACAAGAGCGCTGTCATAATATGCGGCTTTGTTGAAAGGCTTTATATGATTTTAATTAAAACCAAAGCTAATTATTTCTATTCTACTCAGTAACTTAAACGTCTATTTTTTACGCGCATGAAAAACGATTTTCACATTTTGTACACACCCAAATTTTTTATGCTCTGCTTTTTTACAATTCTAATTACCCTCAGGCAGATTAGTCTGCATGAAAAGCATAAAAGACCATTAAATTTCTTGCTAAAATTAGCATAAATAGGAAGCAGAACCCAAAAAAACGAGACGCGCCTCATGCTGAAAATTTCTTCTTGCCATTAATAAAAAAGAAATTAATTTCAATTTATCACATTTTTTCGGCGCTAAATAGCAGATAAACGCACCTTAAAGCGAGAGAAACCATTGAATGATACACAAACTGACAGTCCCTTCATAGGGTGTATTGCGTGCTTAAGGTGGGCTACTCAGCTGCTTGCGTCTAACAACCTGTAACAAAGGAACTTGCACAACTAGCTCTCCTATATTTGGCGCCCGTTATGCCACTTGCGTTTCGGTTTTCTTTAAACACTTTTCGCTCAATTACCTCGATATGTTGTACATATTTGCATGTCATACCAGCGCCGCGTCATAAGCTTAAGTATAATTTAAGCGTTAATAAATTTACTTAGACAATGTGTCACACAAGCCCTGAGCTGATACATTAAATGCTAACGCGCTGTGAAGCAGATGCGTTGTAATAATTTTGGCAACTGAAACGAATAATCGCCGCACGTCACGTCAACACGGCCTACTTTGTACATGCGGCCCAATTTAACATTGCTAATAGACATACATACATACAGCAAATGAACTAATGTACATACTTCTATACACAAATACTTATCTAATGAGCAGTGAGTGACAATGTTAAGTTAAGGTAACATTATTTAAATGCGCGGAAGTAAACTACATAAATGCTTGTAAATAAAATGTGAAAATTCCTTTACTAGCTGTGTCCACATGCTTGAGGTGTGGCACAAACTGTTGCTGCTGCCGCATCACCCCACCCGAACTGTCATCTAAATTGTGATTTTAATTTAATTACACGAAGGCAGGTAGTCGAAAGATGATGAGAAAAAAAGAATCCAGAGAAATGCGTACAAATGTTGTTTATTTTGTAAACGCTTGTTTTAACCAAGCCAACGCAAACAAACTGACAGTGGGGGTATTAAAAGTTCGCAGAAAAATGTAAACTGGCGAACCAGCGAAAGTAATTTAATTAAATGTGCTTGGGTAATCATTTTATTATATGTTAAAGTGCCATTACACTAGCACACTAGCAATGAGTTTAGATCACTGATGGGAACTGCCTTGCCCGCGGGCAAAGCTCCTTTAAGCTTTCTATACATTTTGTATAGGCGCGTGTAGAGCGAAAGCTCTCTGTACGCAACGTACAGTATCTAAGTTAGAATCTACTTTATTTAACCTGATGGTGTTTCTTAAAACTAACTGGCTCACAAAATCGTCTAAATAGGATGACAAAAACAATAGATGCTATGGAAATGGTCTTGGATTTACAGTTGGAATTTAATAATGTCACGTACACGTTGCCCTTGCTATTTTGTCATTTTGGTGGCCTCAGCTAGCTCTGAGATTGTATGGCCCTGGTCCTCAACCCTTGCCACTATGAGGCAGGTTGGAAGGTACGCATATCCTTGCCGTTGTTTTTTATTTTCCTAAATACCAAAATTCGAAGATCCAATAAACTGGAGTAAGCGACCTAAGGGCCTAGATTTTATCTAAATGTCTAGAGAAAAGTTGAGACCAAAATCTCATTATTGCGTCGATCCTCAGGTTTCAAGTAGCTTCTTACGCCGAAAAGCAAGGTCTATTAAAAAAATGCGAATTACGTCCCACAAACGAAATGTCAAATGCGTAACAAATTCTCAAAAATTGCCAGTTTGAGTATTCCTCTGCCGTTCGTGCCAAATCGTAAACTCACAAAAATAATTTTCCCCACCCCTCACATTCTAGTGGTCGCCCAATACTATGAAGCCGATGTCAACAAAGAACATGTAATTCGCGGCAATGCAGCGGTCATCAAGTGTCTCATACCTTCATTTGTAGCGGATTTCGTTGAAGTCGTCTCCTGGCACACTGATAGTGATGAAAATTATTTCCCTGGAACTGAATATGGTGCGAAAACGAAATAAATTGAACTACAAAAATCGGATATAGATTTACAAAATGGTGTAAAAGCATCCCTACCCCGCTCGTTATGAAACACAAAAATTACGGTTGTTGTCGTTAGCCTTAGATTCCACTAATCGCACGTCGGTAGTAAAATGCTCTTGAAGTATTTTTTTCATGAATGCGTGCTGCTGCTGGTTACAAAATTTTCAACAAATTGCATTTCCCGTCCATGGAATTATTCCTAATTTCTACTTTTTCATCACATCATTTTGCATTTCATTCTATTGTCTCTATTTAAACATAATTATTTGAGTCATTTCATTATTTATTGGACTTTACTTTCTATCGCATACACTTTCATATTACTATTTTCCGTGTTTGCATTTATTTCATCGTTTCATTTCCTTTGGCTATCAATACCTTTGCCGCATCATTGCAGTCGTTTCCCAACACTATGAAGAGGATATCCATAAAGCATTTGTCATACGCGGCAATTCGGCCATTTTGAAATGTGACATACCATCATTTGTGGCCGACTTTGTAAGCGTCATATCCTGGCATACCGATCAGGAAGAGAGTTTCTTTCCGGGCACTGAGTATGGTGTGTTCCCAATTGAAAATTCAACTACGTATTTAATTGTCTAATGTCCTAATAAATAAAAATTGTCTATTCTCACCATTAATAATTTTGTACAAATAGTATAGTACCAAAAAATTGACCAATAATCCTGTAATATACACAAAATGTCTAAACAAAAAAATACTGAAAGCAAAAAATCAAACGAACAATCTTACACTACTTATAAAAAACAATTTTTTATTGGCCTAACATTTACTCGATCTAAATTAATCAACACCGATAACGTAAACAGTTCGTAGAACAAACTTAAGAAAAACTACGTTGTACAACACTCACTGTAAATTTAAAGGTAACAAATTGACAAACTGCAGTTCACTTCAAAGCAATACTTTATAATTGTCTACTTGAAATGTGGAGTAACACAGCACACTGATATTCACCGCCACTAAAACTCACCAATCTGTATCATACCACATTTACACTATAAATCAGCTGTGGCTGTCTAAATCAGCTGTTTTGTTTTATCCTTAAGTCCAGCTGCTGTGAATTTTGTTTCAAGTACATATCATTTCTTTATCTTAAATTTGCTTACGACAACGGGAAGTTTCTTCTTTTAGATCTTTTTCCTCTTAGTTAAAAAAATATGTTTCGTATTTTGACGTTTGTGGTTTGTGATATTAACGAAC